AATATACTACTATATATATATATATATATATATATAGCGACCGATTTTTTTCTTGTCCTGTGCTAGACTCGTGTTTCGCGTTCGGTTGAAAACACCAGTGCTGGTGTGGGCTAGTTATAAACATCGAAACTAAAGTGGTAAGCTACAGAGACCGTATTTCACAGCAAATACTACCTTGATACACAAAAATAATAGATAACTCATACTCCTACTGAAAATTAAAAGCTATCAGAATAACACTTGCAAATTTTACCATGATATGAAAAATAACCAGGTTACAATTTCATAAAAGATATTGAATATCTTGTTAAAATTCGGATTACTTTTGGGGCAACATAACAGACCATGCTAATTCATGTTAATTAACACGTCACGCCTCCAACATGCGTGTGAGATCAGGTTAGAACACGTATACCAGCCACCTAAGTAGCTACGACGGTAAATATATATAAACTTACATTAAAATGTTTCACCTTGAAATCAAACGCTCATTTACAACTTAAAACAATGTTGTTGTTTTAGTGTATAGGAATTGAAAATAAAACTGCTCTGAAGCGTTAACTCCAGGATTCGAACCTCGTGCTCTCTTCTAGAAAAGCCTGACAATCACACATTCTTTACAGCCCCCCAGTGGCACAGCGGTAAGTCTCTGGACTTACAACTCTAGAATCCGAGTTTCGATACCCGTGGTGGGCGGGGTACAGATAGCCCATTGTGTTGCTTTGTGCTTAACTTCAAACAAATCTTTACAGATATAAACGTGTACAGAGTTTAATTGAATCTTCTGTGCTGGTAGTTATTTGTTTTTATTATTATACATGTAGCACCTCATTCGTACAAAACTCATTTTTAAAAGTGACTTAGTAACGTTGTTTTATTATTATTATTATCATTTTGCAAGTTTTCTGGTAGTTTATGTAAAAACACAGTTAAATCGGCGCTAAGGAAAACTTTTTGCGACTATGTTGCATGTGACAATGGGTAGGACGTGTATCCACTTATATATATTTACTCGATTAACAGCTAAAAACATTTCACAAGCTGCGGGGGACTTACTCGGGTCTGTTTACTTATTTATCAATAATATTCACTTGTAATTAAGAGCGTAAACTAAGTCTTTTATATAAACACAGTTAACAACACGTAAGCATTTCTGCTTGGGAAGAAGAGGTGCGAGAGAATGTGACCTTCCCAGGTCGTACACAACGACCAAACACCGATAAAATGACACATACATTTGTACTTATGTTTTACAGTTCTAGAAGTTATTCATGCCTGACCTATACAGCTGCACTAAAGGATAAAGAAGACGTTAATCAAGAAAAAACCTAATATTGTTAAACCGTGAATATCACAATTCTTTAATTTCTAATTGGGCCGCTCCTAAACGCAAATTTTACGTGTATATTACTATAC